AGCCAGCTAATTGACTTTGTTATGACATTCTATTGTGATTCAATTTTCAAGTGTGGAAGAGTGGACTTGTTTCTTGCACCGCAATTGGGATTCTATGTTAGTGTAGGTTGTGTTTGAATTTGGTTGAAACCTGTTAAACAAAATGTCAGTTAGTTTTATCAACTTCATGTAGAATCGCGCCTGCATTAATCTTTGTGAAATAACCTGCTGTCAATTATTATGCCAAATTGCTGCTTGCTCTAATCCTGATGTTAAATGATATACAAAACTCAATGTCAATACTTGGTAGCCTGAATTAGCCTAAGTTAAATATGTCAATGACAATACTTGGTAGCCTTGATGTAATTTGTTCTTGTGTGTTGTGTGAATGTTGATATGATTACTACTCACTAATTCACTCCAGTTTTTAGTAGTAAACATTTTGATGGGGAAAAAGGAGCTTGCATTTTTTTTTTGAAAAAACCAACTCAGGGTTGATTTGTTTTTAGTAACAGGGTTCATCTTGTATTTGATTCTTGTATGTTTGATTGTCTGGCTAATGTGTGCCATATATACATGATATAACTGATATTGTTTGAGTTTCCTGACAACTGTGTTCCTTGGGTTTGTATCTCTCAATGATTGTATTGATGATATGCAATCATACAACAAAATAGTTGCTTTTATGAAGCATTGTCAGACCAGCGATACATTATTATAGCTTTCTGCTGATATACTGATATGAATCCTGTTGGCAATGTCTGATTTATATACTTTTGATAAGACCATAGACAAGTGAAAGGGATATCACAAATATCTAAATTTGGGGCAGGATATCATCAACATACTTAATGTTCTGTCTCTTTATTCTTTCAATTTTCTCAGTTCGAGACAGAAAACATTGAGTTTAACTTCCGATGTAGAGATTGAAGTTTGTTGGTCATATAGGCTTCATATTCAATTCAGCTGGTAGCTTTTTATTTGGCTGCCAACTCCCAGTGTTTTTGTGATTTGAATTCTTGAGAATTGAAATGCTCACATCTTGTATCTTTATTAATTTCTTAACTGATTCTCATTGCATATTGCTTACTTTACCACATTAATCTTAAGTCCAGTACTCTTTACAACAAATGATTTTAGTGATTAGAGAAAAAAACCATTAATTTTAGTAGTTTGTTATTAGCTCCTAGAGATGGATCTAACCTTGCAACTACTCTTTACAACAGAATCCGCATATCTTATCTCTAGACTGCAAGTTAGAAAACCAAAGGAAACGGCTACAAGTTCAAGGCATATTTGGGTTTTCTCATGAGCTTCATTTTAGTAGCCACTACAACCGCTATTTGGCCACTGCCAAAAACCAAAGTGCATCAGGGTTTCACTTAGCACCTAAAGGTTGCTATAACATATTGACTACAGAGGTGGAAGTATTATCCTCTGTTTTAGGAATCTGATGAAGCTAATAAATCACCTATTGCACCCATCTCAGGACACTCACTCTAATCAGTTGTAGGTCGTATGTTGTAGGTCTGCAGTTATGGTTCTGCTCAGTCTTGGGAGCTCCTTCAAGACTTTGAGGTTAGGCTGCAAGTCTTATATTGTTTAACTTAGAACTGAGGTTTAGTATGGTAAGTTGTATTCATGGCTGCTATCAGAGTTTGTGGAGAGGTTGAACCATCTAGATTCCCATCAGACCCTATTAAATCCCATGTTTTAGTTGTTGCTTTGATATAGGACAATTTTAGGACCTGGCCATGCTTGTGTTAAGAGAAACCATTTATAATGACTTGTGGAAGCATCAAGAGAAACCATTTATAATGACTTATCGAATCTTCCCATGTTGATCTAGATTCTGAAGTTTTGTTAGGCTGAGTCCGTTCTTGATTTTGATGGTAGTTTGTATGTGTGCTATTCTATACTGCAAGAGCTTCTTGTAATTAGTTTTCATTCGTGTCGCTGGGTTCACTTGATTATGCATGTGTTCAAATTTGCATGAGAATGCATTCAATATCATCTGTTTGAAACCACCTTAATAGCCTTGACAGAGCAGGCAAAATATATTCAGGTAATTAGTTTTAAAGAGAGAAATTGTGTTCTTGATTGGTAGTGAGGAGAAGATATTCAATCCAACCAACATCACCAAAAGGATTTGCAGGCCCTGCTTTTTCTTTCTCTGTTTGAGGGGAGAGAAGAATTTGAAGGCCTCAGATTCCAATTGGGACATAGGTTCCAAAGGGATGCCAATGGCTAATGACTTTGAAGAATCCGAAATAAAGCCTTGACATAATTTCTCTCTTTTTGACATGTAATGTCATTAATATATATGAAATAAAGCTAGTTGATGCATAATAAATTATTGAAGTGTTTTTATGGTTTCAAGTCTTAATGTTATTAGTGGCTTTTAATTGGATAATTAAATTTGTATTTCCTTTGTACTCACCTTCAATTATTGTCAAATTATAGGAAATATGTCTACCGATGGCGATGAACCCGTAATTCAAATTGAGGATGAAGTTGATGA